GCATTTGGCATTTGAGAAAAATTCGAAAGTTGGTTTCTTGTTATTTCATGTTGTTGGAGATAATATGGGAGTGGTATTTCATTTTGCATTTGTGATGCTTGATACGAGTGTGCAGTCATTGGATTTTGTTGTTGAATTGGTTGAAAGGATTGTGTATTAATTAGATTTTGTTGTTGAATTGGTTGTTGATGTTGTGCATCTATTGGTTGTGGAGAAAAATTTCTATGATTTGTACGTGTTTTCTGTATTCCTTGTCTACGATATTCTTGAGTATTTGGTGCAAATATATCTGGTTGTAAGAAATCATCATCTGAGGATAAATAATCCATTTGATACGATGTCTGTTTTTTATTTTTATTTTGTTGAAAAAATGGGTAATTTTCACTGTGATCCTGTGGAGGATTTGTTTGGAAATTTATTGAATTAGGTTGGGTCATTGGGTTATCCCAATTTCGAGATCTTGTATATTGGTTAAAATTTCTTTGTGGTTGATTATATGTTTTTAATGGATGTGTATATTTATAATTATGGTCTGCAAAGTTGTTTCTAGTGAATGTTTTGCGTGTTTTTGATGGTATTGTCATGGGTCTGTATGTTTGGTAATCCATATGTGAATATTTAGGGGCAACCGAAGGTTTAACGGTTGATTGTAAGGTTACTTGTGTTTGTGAAGGATTTGTATTTCTTGGTGTTGTTAAATTTGGGCGTATTGGTGAAATACTTTGTTGTGTAGTTGTTGTGTGTACAATTTCTTCATTTATGAAGTGTGATGGTGTCTGGATATCTTGTTGAGTAAGATTCCTAGTTCCATTGAGGTTTTCATTGTGTATTACTGTAGAGTTTAAACTATTATTTTGTGTATCGGGCAAAAATGTATTATAGTTTAATGGTGTTGCATCAATGGTTAATGGTATTACTTTTACATAATCTCTTATGTAAGATATCGTACTTATTGCTTGACTTGAGATTGTTTGTGGGAAGCCTATAAATGCGGGATGAGACCATTCGGGGTCCCAAACATAATCTGATTGTTCTGTGATAGCGGTATCATCGTTCGAGTTTTGGGGTCTAAAATTTTTTCTTGCTTGTGCAATTAAATCAATATTGTGTGTGAAATAATCTATTATGAACCATGCCAAAATTTTTTGTAGATCGTGTTTTGTATGTTGTGAAACGTCGTCTTTCGTGAAATTTTCTTTAATGATGTTTAAATAACTAGAGAGTAGTGTGATTTCATGTCGTACTCTTAAATGTTTAGATGTTTCTGTCGGTGAGACATTTGTTATTGGGATTTTGTTTTCTAATATCGAAATATAACTATATATTATTGCGAAAACTTCATTGGTGAATATGGAGTTTGCTCTTTGTGAGTTATGATATTGGATGCTTTTTATATATTCTGAAAAAACTTTTGAAAATTCTAAATCAAGATCGTCTGTTTGAATTGTATATTTTCTATTATTATGGTTTGGTGAGGTGAATTCTATGGAGTAGATTCCATACTGTTGTGTTATGTTGCATATATCTTTTAAGTAGTGGTCTATGATTTGTCTTTTGATTTTTACATCTGGGAACTCTGTTTTACATGGACTGATTCCGGGTTCAAATAAATTTACGAGTAAATTTTGACAAAATATGTGTTGTCCTCTATCAGTATCTGCGTCTACTATAAAAGGAAAGATTTCATCATCATCTGGAGTTTCTTCACCTGGGGTGTGCGTTCAGCTCATTTTTTCGTTCGATGACTGTTAATATGTAATTATTAATGTGTCGAATTGGTTGATTCCAATTGTATAAATGTACTGGTTTGTGTTTATACTGCTTTTTTATTCTTCTTTTTCCTCTTTTTGATGAATTTGAAGTTGTTTCTGAGTCAGAAAAATATAATTGATCGTGAAGTGGGTAATTTTTATCTATTGATTCTTTTAGTTTGTAAAGTTCGTCTAAACTGTTGGTTTCTGATTCTGAAAATGCGTTTCGATTTTTTGAAAATCTTTTTCGTGTTATTTGTCTTTGTTTCGTTATTATTTTTCTTTTTAGTGTTTGTCGTTTTGTTCGAATGTATCCAACTGTTTGTGTATGAGGTGTGATTACAAGGTCGTATTTTTTGTTATCTATTTCACAATTGTGTAAAACGATTGTTTGTTTATTTCCTAGGTTTTTAAATGACATAAGGTTTAGGATGACGGATGCAAAAGGTTGTTAAATGGTTTCTATTTTTCTTAAACTGTTAGTTCTTACGATTTTTTGGTTAGCTTAACCTGGGTCTATTTGTTCAGGGTTGGAGAGAAAAGTATATCGATTCCGAAGAATGATTTTTTACTTTCTCGTGGCTAGTATAAGTTAAGGTGTTAACTTACTTAATCTTACTTAGGGGTAGTGATTGTGTTCAAGGGTTGGAGAATAGTAAATCGATCCACAAGGTTCAGGTATAATTAGAACGCGAGTAGTTCGTTAGATACTATTTTAAACTTACTAAGTCTAAGATTTATCCTGGGTCTGGTAAGAGGGGGGGTCAAGTGAAGGATGAATAACCGAAGTTCTTCACTGTTTATCCTAATTTGAATGATTAGTTTTGTTTAAAAATTTCTATTAGTCTTGGGTCTTTAGAAAGGGTTGGGTAGTGAATCGACGTTTGAGGTCGTTAGACACTAATTAATTGGGTGGGGGAGAACAAAGTTGTTCTGTTTGATCCAAGGATAAGCCTTGATGATCAATTTTTGAAATTTAATTAAGTAGAAAATGATTTAAGATCCAAGGATAAGCCTTGATGATCTGGTTTTAAAATTAAGTGAATTTAAGTTTTAATAAAATTTTAAATGTGTGTAAAGGAAAGATTTAGTGTTTTGATGATATTAGTGGGTTTATGATTGCTGTTATGTTTTAGATGATGGAGTTGAAACAACAGGATGATTTATGATTACTAACCATTTATTGTCATGCTACTAATTTTTATTTTTATTTTTCAATAAATATTTTTCAAACATGTTTTGTATATTACTGCAGAGTTTTAGGAAAACGATCTTAGATCTTTTTATCAATCGTTATTGTATATTAATAATTTTGTTTAGCGCCTGAAATGATTTTGAAGATTAACTTCAAGGTTTTATGTTTGCAAATGAAAATCTAAATTCATTGCCAGTAGTATTCTAAATATAAAAGTTTGTTCTGGTTTTTGCCTAACTATCATATAGCTATATGGCAAGTTTCTACTTTGTCGTATGTCGTCTCTGGTTCGAGGTCTTCTTCCAATTCCGGGTAGTTCTGTTATGGTTCGGAATATTGGCTCTGATCTATTGAGTCGTAGAGACATTTCGATTAAATTATTGTCGTATAACATTTTTTAAATGTTTTTGTCTAATTTCTAATCTATTTTGGTTAATTCTAAGCTATTAAGGTCTTGTTCGAGACTTATGGTCGCACCAGATGAGTTAGGACCGAGTTGGTTAACTCATAGAGTAATTTCGGATAGGGTACACCGTCTGCTCGTCACGCTATCTTATTTTCGGCCGGATAGATTCGTGCAACTTCTTAGTCTAATACCGATCCTAATCTTACTCTTATACTATCTAGTCTCAGGTTGTTTAACTAGTCTCTGCTAGGCTCAATAGATCTAGGGTATACTGGTTTTATTGCGGCTGCTGAAGTGCTCGGGAGAGTCCAACTAATTTCTAAGTTAAATTCAAATCTCTCTGGTGCTGAAATTACAAGTAACTTCAGCACTTACAAATAAGTGGGTTGTTAGTTAGATGGATCATGATTGGTTAATATTAAATACTTTACATTGGTAAAATATCTAATTTATCCAATCATAAAATGTAGTTTAGATCAGGTTCCACTATATTAGACTTCACTACGATCATATCTACTCTTCATAAGACTTTTTAAAGGTATCTGTGACAAAAAAGTGAACAACAATTGTAAATAAACAATTCACCTTACATTGTCTGAAAGGCAGAAATAATCAGAAGTTGATAAATTAATTCAGTAATTCATTGCAGCTCGAATCGCGACTGAGGAGGAATAAATCTTCTTGACTCCATATGACGTTTATTTGTGTTACCACGATTTGCATAAAAAACCTGAACCCAAAATTCCTGCACATCTTAGGTAATTGGAAACAAATGAGCTGTAGGTAAGTTCCGATCACATACATATATGCAAGAAACATATTTGTCTCTGAAAGTTAACGAGAGGAGAGGCAGATATTTGCTTAAAGAACTAATTAACAATGGTTTTGACAACTTATCAAAATTTTATGGGACATTCACTGAGCAGGACATTGTAATAATAATAGTATCTCAGTGGCGAGACTGCAGATCGCAAACATGAGCAAGTAATCGCCAGAGATTGGGCTGCACAAGCTTTAAAATGCACAAAAACTCAAATTTACAAATTATAATTTAAAATTTAATTAACTAAAGGCCGCTACACTAATTTTTTATATAAAAACTGAGATTATATTAAACCAAACTGCGTATTAATGAAGCATTCCAAGATATAGCGAATTGCAAAATTTTTAAAATTTTAATTATACAGTTGTATGAAACAAATAGCTTTTCCGGTCCAACAGGAATTAAACAAGCACGAACTGTGTTTACTTATTACCAATCATATGTCAAAGCGCATGTGACTATACTGCTAAAGTCTGACTAATACTAACGTCTAACTTTTAATTTCATTATGAACCAAAGGTAAAATGATTGAAGCATACTAAGCGCAAGCATACATATAGACTGAGATGTTAATAATTCAGAACCTTTTTGGTCTCACTTTTACTGATAAAATGTAGCCTGAAAAGCAAAAAAAAAACAGAACCTTGTTTTGTCTCAACACCGAAGAACAATTTTTTCAGACTTTTCAACGCAGTCCTGAAGAAGGCGGGTCTATAACACTTGATTTCGCGCAAGGAAGACACCGGAGTGAATGATTCCTACCCACTTGATGGTGGGGACAAAAGTAAGATAGCTTCGAAGGCCCAATAATTCAGCTTAACTTACTAAGTGCCACTGGTTTCCAAACTCGGGGTCCGTGATATTGTCCAACCTGAGTCGATTCTGATCTTCAAACTTGATAAGGTCTTCCGCAGTCGGAGTTCGCTTTTCCCGCTCCAGAACCGAATCATGGTTATTATAAAATTGAAGGTCCAAATCCTCAATTGATGACCTCAACAAATCCATACTCCAATCACAGTCCGAAATAGTAAGTTGATAATTCAGACTGCTGTCAAGCATTCCTAATCGGTCTACGTTATAGGCACAGTTCTTCGGAATGAAGTTGTCGAAATTCAGGACTAAAAAGAGCGAGGACGATTCGAAAACGAGGACTCGTGAGTCATTCTTTGTTTCTCGGAACTTTGTTGACGAATCAGCAGTACAATGAGTTAGTGGCAGCAGTGATGACAGTACAAGTATCAAAGTGTATATTACAAACATTCAGGAGCATTTTACGCACGCCATGTAGATATTCGCTAACTGTAGTCACAAATTGCTATTCCATTCCACTTCTGAAATTAAACAAAAGATTAACAATTGTTTAAACGATTCAGTTCGTTCGTTACACCAGTGGGAGAGCCAACTGTTTCGCTATCAGTACAATTAATGAAAAATTATTATCAAAAACGAAACTTGCATAAAAATAAATGTCTGATTAATTCGCAAAAGGAAACAAATTGAACCGAAGCGTTTAATTAAAAAGCTTCTCTTGACATTTCAAACTCCTGTTATTTAAATAGCAATAAGAACTGAAAACTCAACTTGCTCAGTTTGTGTATAGTACACAGAAAGTAAAAACATTTTGACTTGTTCTCCGCTACTGTATCCGGTACGCAAATAGTTCGATCACATCTACTTTTGATAGGAGGATAGCAGTCATAAGAAAAGGACAACTTTTTACAAACTTGACGCTAAGTAATTGATGATGAAATAACGGTTTGAAACATACACAAAAGAGTAAAAAAAGTCCTTTTTTGGACCAAGTATTCGAATCTTAGATGATTCAAATGCAAAACTCCAGTTACTCCGTAGGCAGCATTTGACCGAACATTTCTAGTGCACGATGTAGCCAACAGACAGACAGCTGGCAAAGTTTCCATGATCGCAAGGAAACAGAACTTGTGTTTTAAAAAACCTTAACTTTCGAATTCAAAAAATATATATAAGCCTTAAAAGATGTTCAAAATTAAAGAACAATTTATTAATGACTCTCTCATTATAAAATAGGACCTAATTTGAAAAATCTGAATCAATAGGTAATTATAATTATTCCGCTGAAAATCTGAAAATTAAATTTCACGTGCGAAACAAAGTCTCTTGGTTCGGAATGCCAGCTTAGTCTCAAAAAACGAAACTTGATTACTCGCTTGCTTAAAATGACATTGCGGAAAGCCTAACACAAATGTACACAGAATGACTACCGAGCAACAGGGAAATCTGGTACTAGTACTTTAATATATCTTTATTTTTTTAAATATTCTATTCAAGGCTAAATCACCTTCGAAAAGCGCTTCTCTCTAACCATACACAGTGAAAAAAACGGACGTAACCTTTTAAACTGGAACTTGGCTTACCAAACATGATTCACCAGACAGACACTCAACCCCTTCCGGTTGTTCTCTGGCAACTGTTAGTCGTCAGGATAGACAAAAGGTACAATGGGTGGCTCTCTCGTCTCTCATAATGGCAAAAAATCTCCAGAAAAAAACTGACTGGTATAAAAAACCTTCAAATTTCGAATTTCCACGAAAAAAATATAAACCCCTAAAGCTGTTCGAATTTCAAGAACAATTTATGATTGACTCTCTTTTTTCCTGTCACAGTGTACATGCACTTAATAAGATCGAAATTTTGAAAAGGAATAAAATAAATCATCCGTCTCAAATTAATGATAACAAAATTCAAGCCTCATAAAAAAACTATGCATGAACTGGATTACTTTTGATCCATTCATTAATCGTTTTAATTGCTCTTCAACCACCGAAGCCTCTAAATTATTCAAATTGCTTTAAAAAATCTCCCTTAAAAGCGTCATTTCAAGAAGATTTGATGCGGCATCACAAGCACTGTGAAATATTTTCTTTTTTATTTTATTGCTTTTTACAACATTTCAAACAGTCTTAATAAGTGAACTAAGAAAATGCTGGTTCGATGGAAGCTTCTTGAAATTGATTTATTTTTATCTTATCTAACAAAACGATTCCAATGCGTAGTGGTTGATGGGAACCTTTATCAACCAGCGGCGGTCAAGAGCGGAGTCCCCCGAAGGAGTGTACTTGGAGATCTGCTTTTTCTTCTCTACGCGAATCATTATCCTGAATCCACCGGAAACCTCCAATTTTTGCAAGTTTGCCGATGATACTAAATTGTTTTCACGTTATTCTGTCACTGAACAACAAACGCGTAAGCATTTTGTGCAATACGAAATGAAGCACAAGACTTATGCTTCCTTTGAAATGACCCAAATTAGGTCACTAAGCCGATAAAACATAAGCGAAATAAAATTTTTGAGAGATAAGAACCAAAACAGCAAATAAGGCTAGTAAAAATGAAAACTGCAGGAACAGTTCAGAACACTGAAAGCAATTACATTGAAAATTTTGTTAAAAAAATCAACTCTACGATATGGCAACTAAGCCGACAAAGGATAAGCAGACAAACTATAGTTTTTTTTGAGAAAGTAATACTTCCAGAACCCAAGACCTTTGTCGTCCCAGTCGTATTCTTCACCTCCACGATAAAACATAAGCGAAATAAAATTTTTGAGAGATAAGAACCAAAACAGCAAATAAGGCTAGTAAAAATGAAAACTGCAGGAACAGTTCAGAACACTGAAAGCAATTACATTGAAAATTTTGTTAAAAAAATCAACTCTACGATATGGCAACTAAGCCGACAAAGGATAAGCAGACAAACTATAGTTCTTTAGAAAGGAATACTTCCAGAACCCAAGACCTTTGTCGTCCCAGTCGTATTCTTCACCTCCACGCTAAAAGCTGGACACGCGTAGAAATATGAATTCATAATGAACCAAAAAACAAAAGATTCTGTAAAAGACATTGTTAACCTGAAAAAAGTCTCTATTCCGATTTGATAACGCTTGTTAATCGCAAGCATAAAAATTGTACAAGCAAACAACAACCTAAAATGTTACATTAAATTTTTTCCTGATGATAATTTGGGTGCAGAGATTTGATGCTTTATAAGAAAGTGTTTAAACTTAAAAAAGTACATAATTTATTTTAGGTTGTTTCTTTATTCCAACGTTTTTATTTTTCCTGATGTGACAAGATGTGACAACTAAGCCGACAACAAATTAATTTATTTGAAACAGAATTTTTCCCGTTTGAAAAAAAAAACAGGTTTTAGTCAGACTCGAACTCACGACTTTTGCTGTCCCAGGCACATTCGTTACCTCGAGGCTAAACTGGCCGGGAGCTCATAGAAGTTTGAATTCATTATGAACCAAGATACAAGTGATTCTGTTAAACTAGTTAACTTGAAAAAAGTCTATATTCCAAATTGATAACGCTTGCTAATCGCAAGCGCAATCAAGGATCAGAACTGAACCATCAAAAATATTTAGAATCGCTACAAAAATTGGCGCTACAAAAGCTCCAAAAAAGTTAACTTTTTTAAAACTAAGTTGTCAAGGCTTAAATTAAGCATAACAAAGCTGTTTTACGCCTGCTCGCTCGCTTTATTCGCTCGAAATTGAAATACAAATCGAAATTTGTACGCGAGTTTTTCTCGCGAGAGGGAATTTTTTTTGGAAAGCGTTAAAGGTCGTTCGAATCAAGACTGACAGGGATTCAATTTGGTGTATCACTCGACCCATTCCAATGATGACTTGCGGCACCTGATGTCGCGCGAAAGACTAAGTAGAAAGGAAACAAGGTTAGCCGGTTACGGTGCAAGAAGTACAGAATGTTCCGACCATTGTCTTAAATTATGCAAAAAAGGCAGCAAAAAAAAACGATTCGACAACCAAGCCGACCATTAAGCAGACGAACAATTGGCTGACAATTTCTTTCGAAAAAGAATATTCGACGATTTGACGTTTGAGAAAAAAAAAACAGCTCCTGGCCAGATTCGAACCCACAATCTTTGCATTCCCAGGCATAATCGTTACCGCGAGGCTAAGTTGGCCGGGAACGCATGAAAATTTGAATTCATTATGAACCAAGATGCAAGTGATTCTGTTTAATAAAATGTTGAACGGAAAAAGTCTATATTCCGGTTTGATAACGCTTGCTAATCGCAAGAGTAATCAGCCTTAAACTCGGTTGTTCACGTTTCCCGATCAAGTTTTTCGTGACTTTATCTTGTAGTGTTTGATTGTGGAGGTTATATTCCTTTCAACAAAAGAAACGAGCTGAACTGAGAAAGAATAAAACGTCAAACCACGAAAAATTATATTTTGGCATGAACAAATTTTATGACTTTTCCTATAAAAATCATTACGACCTATAGAATTGTATTCTCTACGTTCATTGACAATTTGAAATTCAAGCAAGCGCGAAATAGAGCACTGAGACGATTTCATTTTTGACATTTGTTTTTTTCTTACACGATATTAGAATGCGCCACATCTGCTCTGTAATTCTTACTGTGTAGATGCAAAAAATCACATGAAACATTGATTATGACTATTTCAACTATGTTAAAGTGCTCTAATTTTTTCTTTTATTCTGGAAGAATGAAAAACTCGACAAGGCTCTGTATTCAATTTTCCTTTTAAATTCAAAAAATCATTTCAGTTTAATGAAGACTCTGATCACAGAGGTTTGCGAGCAAACTAATTACAGATCCGAAAACTATAACAATATTTTGGTTTAAAAAACAGCTGCTTTTATAACACAAGCTGTTTACTTGTTGTCCGCGTATACAGACTAAACATTAGAATGGGCGCCTTTCATAAATCTAAAAACTTCTTTTCGTTGAAGAGCCACTCGATTCCTTTGTCCATTCAAATTATCACATTGATCAAGGTTTAAGTTTTGCCAATTTCATGCGACTTGAAGACATTGATAAGTTTCATATTTCATAATCAAAATAGCCATAACCAACAGACTTTTGCAAAAAACGATATTGTCAGTATTAAATCCAAACGAAAACTCTTCAAATTTCAAAACACACTGACTTGTCACATTTTTCAATAAAACCTGAGTGTAGCGCACTTCCAGTGCTTCAAGCAGATTGGTGAACATGAAAGTTGCTTATATGTGAAATCTAAGGAAAAAAACAAGGAAAAGAGTGCAACCGTAACAAAAGAAAAAGTAATCCAACAACCCTTTTGATTTCAAAATTTGAACAGAAAAAATACTTTGAACTTAGGGTTAGGTTTTTTAAACTAATATGGTCCTCCAAAACTACAGGGTTCAGATTTTCGTATTTTGAACTCATAAACGAAATCACAAAATTGCCGACAGCATACAGCTGCACTTTCAGCAAAACATTGAAACAATTTCACTTGCAAAATCATCAAACCCATGAAAAGGATTCATAATCCAGCGTATTTAATTTTAAAATATCAGGTTCTTTTATCTTATTTTATTTGTTAGCTTAAAGAAAAATTTCGACATATCGTAAAAAAAAACAATTTTGAAATATTAAAAACTTTAACAAAAACATGGGAGGCCAAATCTTCATTTGCTGGTAGTAACTTGACGCCACCCCACCAAAGTGTCGACAATTTCAAATTTTACACTTTTGAAAACTTTCGAAACCGATAAAAACGGCCTATATAAAAAATTAAAAGGCGTTGAGCAGTTATATTTGGAAACTAGTTAGAGATCCTCAGAGTACCTTGAGAGCACCCGCTATAACGCTGAGTAACTCAAACTTAGTGAGGTTTACAAACCTTAAATATTTGAAAAAATTTTAAGAAGCATAAAAACGGCATATCTAAGAAAACAAGATATGAGCAATCAAATTTGGAGACAAGAGTGAAACTTCTGAGAGTATTCTGACAGCACCCAACTATAGGACTGACAATAATCGTTGTATCTAATAAAAAAAGTGTTGAGTATTCATATTTGGAGATCCAAATTCGTAACCCCTGTGGATACCCTGACAGCGTAACACTTTTGAATGGCTAATTTCAAAGTTGACCAAGAATGGCTAATTTCAAAATCTGAAAACCCTAACGCTTTGCAATATACGATATAGATTAAACATGCAGATACTCTTTTGTTAACCATGCAAAAATTCGCCAAAAAAACTTAAACATGGCGAGATAGTGAAGCCCGCACTTAAAGATATAACAACAGATTAACTTAAGTTGAGAAAACCAGAACAAAATATATTTTTTTCAGCTGCAACAGCTTAAAATTGCAGAAATTTTCACGAAAAATAAATTCCCAACGCTAAGCCACTTCGAGCAAAACAATGATTATTCGTTGTAATCAACCTGAAAAGCAAAAACATTCAGACCGACTTCTCGAAAGCAAGCAAAATTTATTGAATTTTTGTATTGCAGCTCCAATAAAGACTGAAAGATCTTTAGTATGATACATAAGCTCCACCTCTGGATTTTTAGAGTACACAGAGCCGAGATTTTAACTACAGAAGATGAAAGAATTTTGGCGTAAGTAGTGTAAGTAGCAAAAACATATATAAAAAAATCCGCGTGTAACCTTTAAAAAAATTAGCATGCTATGAGAAAAACAGCAAGCAAAATACTGGGTTAGACACAGGGATAAAAGCTTTGTTCAAAAACAGTGAAACATATCTTATTGTTCAAAAAAATTTTCTCGAAAATAAAAACGATGCATCTAATTTACACTGATAAATTCAAAAAAAAAACAATTGATAAATTCAACGAAAGAAAATAAATCGTTTTCAAAAAACTCTTTTTCGAAAAAGTTTTATCAGAAAAGTTATAAGTTCAGATAATTGACAGACTTTATGTATTGCCTCCTTGCCACTCAGATGAAATTGATATTAAAAAAAATAACAAAAAATGTTTTAAAATCGAAAGCAACAAAAAATTTTACAAAAACACTTAAAACGAGATTCCTTGGACCAAAACAGGAATACAAATGTATTCCTGTATTGCTTTCGATTTAAGAACAATTTTTGTTGATTTTTGTGTATATCATTTTCATCTGATTTCCCAATGACCGATCTGTGTCGATTGAGCCGACAAAAAGTTAGGTGGAAAAACGATAATGCGATCAGTATTTCATAATCAAAATACTTTCAGCTCGCTAAATTTAATAATCCTGAACCAACTCGAACCCTGTACTTGTCGTATAAGTTAGGGTCGTGACGTTTGCGCCAAATATGCAAAACAAAACTTTGCACTTAAATAATCATTGAAAGAGGAGTGAAACGGAACTTCCCACCATTTGTGATACATCAAAAATATCAGCAAATTTTAACAAAAAATGTTCTGAAAATGAAAGCAACAAAAATTTCACAAAAATCCTTGAAACAAGATTCCCTGGACCAATACAGGAATACATCTCAATAATCGAGCTGTGGCGATTGAACCGAGAAAAAAAACTAAATAATAAAACGATAATGCAATCAGTACTTCAAAATCAGAACATTTTCAGTTGGTAAAAAAATAATAATCCTGGACGAACTCGAACTCTGGGCCTTTGTCGTATAATTTAACGTCGTCACGTTAGCGCCAAGTAAGCAGAAATAAACTTTTATTGTGAAATAATCATTAAAGGAGAGGTGAAAATGAACTTCGCATCAATTGTGACACATTAAAAATATAGCATAGCAAGCTAGGCGACAGAGAAATTAGAAAACCATTGAGTCGAAGAAAAAACATAGCCAAAAGACATATGGAAAAAACTCAATGAAAGCAAGGAAACCGAAAATGGACTGCAAAAATTATAAAGCTCTTTCAATTTCGAGAACAATATAGAATTAACATTTGTTTGATAAAAACTAACTCAATTTGGGAAAACTGGAGCAAATTCAGAAAACTGGCGAAGTTTTTATTCCGCTGAGAAACTTGAAATCCACTTTCGAAATAAGAAGTTGATTCACAATTTTTGTGACTTTACACTTCTGCTGTTCATTATTGGAATTTGATGAACAGCAGAAGTGCACTTCTGCTGTTCATTATTCAATAAAAAAAATCAAAATTAAAACCGCTAAACCCAAATTTGAGCGTGTCTTGAATAAAAGGTCGATAAGTGTAGCAAAATGCGTCGAAAAATTTCTCACATTTGTATCAATTCTTCAGATAAATACTATTAAACTGCGGAAACTACGCCGCACAATTGTCACCAAAATGAGCAATATCTGCGAGTAAGATTGGAAAAAATGGACTTGTATTATAGCACAATGCTCACAAGCTCCTAAGTGGAAATAGAATGGGAATTCAAAATGCACAGTTCTATCTGTTGACATGCCAACTATTGACCTAAATGATAGTCGTTTAGACAAACAAAATATTTAGATGAAAAAACCTAGGCTCCGATTTGATAACGCCTGCTAATCACAAGCATAAAAAGCCAAATGATTATGTTGGATCAAGTGTTATGATGATCGAAAAAATCTTAAATAAATAAATAAACGCACTGCGTATACGTGTAATCTAGACCCCCAATAAACTGTTCATGAGATAATAATTTTACGGATCGACACATCAGGATCGACACATCTTAATGGTCTCTAATTGCTTTCGACTATCAAACCTTGAACAAAATTTTGGTTATTTCATATCTTAATTGGCAATCGTCTGACTACAAACAAGATATTGAAACTATGGAGGAAGGTAAGTTTTTTTGGTAATTTTTTCTTCAGTTAACCAACTAGAAGCCTTACCCGAAAGTTAACTACTTAAAATTAACTAGCTAAAGCTAGGGGTATTTGCAAGAGCTCGTATTGCAGATCAAAGAGTAAGTTCGATTTTAACCTGCTGTCATGTGATAACTGGGCATAATCACTACAAATGCATGACAACGCCACTTTAAAATTTTAGAAGCAAATCCGGGAGAAGCGACCGCATTGCTATGCTCAGCACTCCACAACTCGAGCGAGTCATAATTGCGATTTTATTTAGTAATTTATTCGGATGAAAAGTGAATCTTACCGACTAAAGCTCTGTTCTCGCAAGTCGATAAAATCATCCATACGTGTTCACTTCGCAAGTCGAGAAAAGCGACTTGTTTTTACAGTGGAACCAAGAAAAGCTTGTTGATCCACGAGTATATTTAAACGAGTAAACAAATTCAATAGGAAAAAAGTTTTTGAAACACATTCGACGGTTTTTATCGTGTGCAACAGAACGATTTGTACCATTAATTGTCACTTTGACCTCAGTAAAATTGTATCTTTAAAGCTAAATTATCATACTTGCTTTGTAAATGCAGGCATAGAACCTAAGCTACACTGCTAGGTTGATGAAATTTAAATAAACAATAAACTTTATTCAAGCTTCAACTTGGACATACAGAAGCGTCTTTTAATCTTCCTTTTCTACTTTGGGTTTCTTGGTCAGTTTTTTCACAACATAGTTACACAGTATTATAGTAATGGCTATGCCATGATACAAGAAATATATCTGGCTCCAGAATTTCAGAGTCTGAGCTCCTGATAACAAGTAGAACGCCATATTAAGATAGTTCCAGTACTGATTAGTAAGTACCCATGATATAACGGTGACGATTGCTGAGACTACTCGCGATTTCTGGATTGTTTCATTCTTCATGAAAGCTTTTTCGAAGATGACAGCTGAGAAATTGAGCAGAGGCACACACATGAAACTGAGGAAGTAGCCTGACCTGACCCCGTGCCACAGAGCGGAGACAAAGAACGTGGCTGGTTTCCTAAAGCACAAAAACTCTGGTGATACTCTAGCAGTATAAAATGAAACGACATTTATCTGATCAACACAAACAGCTTCTTCCAAGATTCACTCATAAAATTGCCCGATTCTTCAACTGTATGAATCAAACGCATTAACCACTCAGCCACGCAGGCTTAAGAAATCACAAACACAAGTCACAAATGAAGCAGAGAACAGATGCAATGCAATTTCCAAGGCTAGATAGTATTTATAGCAAAAATGGCATCAAACAAAAGATCACTTTCCACTTTTATTGAAAATTTTAGTTGCGAGTTAGGTTTAAAAAAAGAAGGTTCGTACTACTACATTAGCTGCGGGCTAGAGTAAAGAAAAGATCAACCACAAACATTAAGCACAGAGGCAAGGCTTCGCAGACACAAGCGAAAACACGACAAGAAGAAGCTCTATTAGAACAGATACCATGAAATTTCCAATGCTAGATAGCATTTAGAGCAAAAATGGCATCAAACAAGTGATCACTTTCCACTTTTATTGAAAATTTTAGTTGCGAGTTAGGTTTAAAAGAAGAAGGTTCGTACTACTACATTAGCTGCGAGCTAGAATAAAGAAAAGATCAACCGCAAACATTAAGCACAGAGGCAAGGCTTCGCAGACACAAGCGAAAACAGACAAGAAGAAGCTCTATTAGAACAGATACCATGAAATTTCCAATGCTAGATAGCATTTAGAGCAAAAATGGCATCAAACAAGTGATCACTTTCCACTTTTATTGAAAATTTTAGTTGCGAGTTAGGTTTAAAAAAGAAGGTTCGTACTACTACATTAGCTGCGGGCTAGAGTAAAGAAAAGATCAACCGCAAACATTAAGCACAGAGGCAAGGCTTCGCAGACACTAGCGAAAACACGACAAGAAGAAGCTCTATTAAAACAGATGCCATGAAAATTCCAATGCTAGATAGTATTTATAGCAAAAATGGCATCAAACAAAAGATCACTTTCCACTTTTATTGAAAATTTTAGTTGCGAGTTGGGTTTAAAAAAAGAAGGTTCGTACTACTACATTATCTGCGGGCTAGAGTAAAGAAAAGATCAACCGAAAACATTAAGAACAGAGGCAAGGCTTCGCAGACACTAGCGAAAACAGGACAAGAAGAAGCTCTATTAGAACAGATACCATGAAATTTCCAATGCTAGATAGCATTTATACAAAAATGGCATCAAACAAGTGATCACTTTCCACTTTTATTGAAAATTTTAGTTGCGAGTTGGGTTTAAAAAAAGAAGGTTCGTACTACTACATTAGCTGCGGGCTAGAATAAAGAAAAGATCAACCGCAAACATTAAGCACAGAGGCAAGGCTTCGCAGACACTAGCGAAAACACGACAAAAAGAAGCTCTATTAGAACAGATGCCATGAAACTTCCAATGCTAGATAGTATTTATAGCAAAAATGGCATCAAACAAGTGATCACTTTCCACTTTTATTGAAAACTCTAGTTGCAAGTTAGGTTTAAAAAAGAAGGTTCGTACTACTACATTAGCTGCGGGCTAGAGTAAAGAAAAGATCAACCGCAAACATTAAGCACAGAGGCAAGGCTTCGCAGACACTAGCGAAAACACAAGAAGAAGCTCTATTAGAACAGATGCCATGAAATTTCTAATGCTAGATAGTATTTATAGCAAAAATGGCATCAAACAAAAGATCACTTTCCACTTTCATTGAAAATTTTAGTTGCGTGTTAGGTTTCAAAAAAGAAGGTTCGTACTACTACATTAGCTGCGGGCTAGAGTAAAGAAAAGATCAACCGCAAACATTAAGCACAGAGGCAAGGCTTCGCAGACACTAGCGAAAACACGACAAGAAGAAGCTCTATTAGAACAGATACCATGAAATTTCCAATGCTAGATAGTATTTATAGCAAAAATGGCATCAAACAAAAGATCACTTTCCACTTTTATTGAAAATTTTAGTTGCGAGTTGGGTTTAAAAAAAGAAGGTTCGTACTACTACATTATCTGCGGGCTAGAGTAAAGAAAAGATCAACCGAAAACATTAAGAACAGAGGCAAGGCTTCGCAGACACTAGCGAAAACAGGACAAGAAGAAGCTCTATTAGAACAGATACCATGAAATTTCCAATGCTAGATAGCATTTATACAAAAATGGCATCAAACAAGTGATCACTTTCCACTTTTATTGAAAATTTTAGTTGCGAGTTAGGTTTAAAAAAAGAAGGTTCGTACTACTACATTAGCTGCGGGCTAGAATAAAGAAAAGATCAACCGCAAACATTAAGCACAGAGGCAAGGCTTCGCAGACACTAGCGAAAACACGACAAAAAGAAGCTCTATTAGAACAGATGCCATGAAACTTCCAATGCTAGATAGTATTTATAGCAAAAATGGCATCAAACAAGTGATCACTTTCCACTTTTATTGAAAACTTTAGTTGCAAGTTAGGTTTAAAAAAGAAGGTTCGTACTACTACATTAGCTGCGGGCTAGAGTAAAGAAAAGATCAACCGCAAACATTAAGCACAGAGGCAAGGCTTCGCAGACACTAGCGAAAACACAAGAAGAAGCTCTATTAGAACAGATGCCATGAAATTTCTAATGCTAGATAGTATTTATAGCAAAAATGGCATCAAACAAAAGATCACTTTCCACTTTCATTGAAAATTTTAGTTGCGTGTTAGGTTTCAAAAAAGAAGGTTCGTACTACTACATTAGCTGCGGGCTAGAGTAAAGAAAAGATCAACCGCAAACATTAAGCACAGAGGCAAGGCTTCGCAGACACTAGCGAAAACACGACAAGAAGAAGCTCTATTAGAACAGATACCATGAAATTTCCAATGCTAGATAGCATTTATACAAAAATGGCATCAAACAAGTGATCACTTTCCACTTTTATTGAAAATTTTAGTTGCGAGTTAGGTTTAAAAAAAGAAGGTTCGTACTACTACATTAGCTGCTGGCTAGAATAAAGAAAAGATCAACCGCAAACATTAAGCACAGAGGCAAGGCTTCGCAGACACTAGCGAAAACACGACAAAAAGAAGCTCTATTAGAAGAGATGCCATGAAACTTCCAATGCTAGATAGTATTTATAGCGAAAATGGCATCAAACAAGTGATCACTTTCCACTTTTATTGAAAATTTTAGTTGCGAGTTAGGTTTAAAAAAAGAAGGTTCGTACTACTACATTAGCTGCGGGCTAGAATAAAGAAAAGATCAACCGCAAACATTAAGCACAGAGGCAAGGCTTCGCAGACACTAGCGAAAACACGACAAAAAGAAGCTCTATTAGAACAGATGCCATGAAACTTCCAATGCTAGATAGTATTTATAGCAAAAATGGCATCAAACAAGTGATCACTTTCCACTTTTATTGAAAACTTTAGTTGCAAGTTAGGTTTAAAAAAGAAGGTTCGTACTACTACATTAGCTGCGGGCTAGAGTAAAGAAAAGATCAACCGCAAACATTAAGCACAGAGGCAAGGCTTCGCAGACACTAGCGAAAACACAAGAAGAAGCTCTATTAGAACAGATGCCATGAAATTTCTAATGCTAGATAGTATTTATAGCAAAAAAGGCATCAAACAAAAGATCACTTTCCACTTTCATTGAAAATTTTAGTTGCGTGTTAGGTTTCAAAAAAGAAGGTTCGTACTACTACATTAGCTGCGGGCTAGAGTAAAGAAAAGATCAACCGCAAACATTAAGCACAGAGGCAAGGCTTCGCAGACACTAGCGAAAACACGACAAGAAGAAGCTCTATTAGAACAGATACCATGAAATTTCCAATGCTAGATAGCATTTATACAAAAATGGCATCAAACAAGTGATCACTTTCCACTTTTATTGAAAATTTTAGTTGCGAGTTAGGTTTAAAAAAAGAAGGTTCGTACTACTACATTAGCTGCGGGCTAGAATAAAGAAAAGATCAACCGCAAACATTAAGCACAGAGGCAAGGCTTCGCAGACACTAGCGAAAACACGACAAAAAGAAGCTCTATTAGAAGAGATGCCATGAAACTTCCAATGCTAGATAGTATTTATAGCGAAAATGGCATCAAACAAGTGATCACTTTCCACTTTTATCGAAAATTTTAGTTGCGAGTTAGGTTTAAAAAAGAAGGTTCGTACTACTACATTAGCTGCGGGCTAGAGTAAAGAAAAGATCAACCGCAAACATTAAGCACAGAGGCAAGGCTTCGCAGACACTAGCAAAAACACGACAAGAAGAAGCTCTATTAGAACAGATGCCATGAAATTTCCAATGCTAGATAGTATTTATAGCAAAAATGGCATCAAACAAAAGATCACTTTCCACTTTTATTGAAAATTTTAGTTGCGTGTTAGGTTTCAAAAAAGAAGGTTCGTACTACTACATTAGCTGCGGGCTAGAGTAAAGAAAAGATCAACCGCAAACATTAAGCACAGAGGCAAGGCTTCGCAGACACTAGCGAAAACACGACAAGAAGAAGCTCTATAAGAACAGATGCCATGAAATTTCCAATGCTAGATAGTATTTATAGCAAAAATCGCATCAAACAAGTGATCCTTTTCCATTTTTATTGAAACTTTTAGTTGCGAGTTAGGTTTAAAAAAAGAAGGTTCGTACTACTACATTAGCTGCGGGCTAGAGTAAAGAAAAGATCAACCGCAAACATTAAGCAGAGGCAAGGCTTCGCAGACACTAGCGAAAACACGACAAGAAGAAGCTCTTTTAGAACAGATACCATGAAATTTCCAATGCTAGATAGCATTTATACAAAAATGGCATCAAACAAGTGATCACTTTCCACTTTTATTGAAAATTTTAGTTGCGAGTTAGGTTTAAAAAAAGAAGGTTCGTACTACTACATTAGCTGCGGGCTAGAATAAAGAAAAGATCAACCGCAAACATTAAGCACAGAGGCAAGGCTTCGCAGACACTAGCGAAAACACGACAAAAAGAAGCTCTATCAGAAGAGATGCCATGAAACTTCCAATGCTAGATAGTATTTATAGCAAAAATGGCATCAAACAAGTGATCACTTTCCACTTTTATTGAAAATTTTAGTTGCGAGTTAGGTTTAAAAAAGAAGGTTCGTACTACTACATTAGCTGCGGGCTAGAGTAAAGAAAAGATCAACCGCAAACATTAAGCACAGAGGCAAAGCTTCGCAGACACTAGCGAAAACACCACAAGAAGAAGCTCTATTAGAACAGATGCCATGAAATTTCCAATGCTAGATAGTATTTATAGCAAAAATGGCATCAAATAAGTGAACACTTTCCACCTTGAATGAACGCTTTTATTTGCTAGTTAGGTTAGAAAAAGGTAAGTTTCGTACTACTATACTACCTTTTCCCAAGTGTAAACAGCTGCACTATTCACGACCAGCAATCAACAAATCAAAATAGCGTTCTCTTCAAAAATGAATGAAATTTTGCGGGCTTTCAAAATTCAGAAAAGCAATACAACTCACCTCATCGACTTAATAGGACACTCTTTGAAGGTGTACTGCACAAGCCACCACTGCACACACATATTCCAACATCTCACTCCATCTTGCATTGTCAACATAGTCTCCACACCCACTACGTCCATGTTGCGCACAGTCTCAAACGAATACTCCGTATCCCTCTCTTCCTCTTGTCTTTCGGCCTCTGAAGCCCCCGTCGACCCACTGCCATCAGTCAGACTAGTTGAGAGCGAGTAAATCTCATACGCATTCTTAGTTGGACCCTTTCCTGGTTTCGGTTCGCTCCATTTAGGGTAAGCTCCAAATCCAGCAATGACGAAGCAAACCTCAGCTAACAACCAGCCGAAGTACATACGAAGTCTGAACATTGTAAAAAGCGGAAACATGTAGGCTATTTTAAAGAAAACTGTCGTTTCTGCAAACTCTTCTGTATGCAGATATGCCGACTTGTATCTGGAAAAGAACAGAAACAATGGAATGATAATAATGAAGAATTTGAGACGATGCAGTATTTCTGGAATTTTGTCTGATTTTTTGGGTGTGAATCTTTGGTGCACGAAATCGTAGTAGGTTCTGTAAGTAAAGATAGGTCCTGTAAATAGTCCCATGAAGCAGAAAGAGTAGTGGAATAAGTCCAGCATATTGTATTCTGGCATCTTGACACTCTTGAGCCGAATTTCATCATCAACTACGTCCTAAAATGGTAATTTTATCAAAATTGGTGTATTCTAATTAACTCTCATTATAATTTTCGTACTTAAAAATAAAGCAAAAAAACATGCTGACAGGCAAGCGCCTAATATAGCTAACAAAAGGAACCCCACTAAAAGCAGTAGCGTGCCTAGGGGGAAGCAGATGGCATATCATTAGGCTAGGAATCGATGGCTCTGAAAAAGCAACCAACAGTGCTTACTTCAATCATATGAAATTACCTGGTTTTCTTTGGCTTCTCAGATACTTACAATTCAAACAAAACTATTCAATCAGATATTAACTCAGATAAGAACAAAACAAAACTCTCAGATATACACTGAATATAACATTCTTTGGTACTGTTTAATGGCATCTGTAGGACTCCACTGCACTGTCTATAATAAGCTATCGTTAACCTCACAAGTCCATATTAGTGATGATAAATAATGTGCCCAGTTTAATTAGGAAAATGGGTCTTTCAATCTAAGAAGCATATCTGGGAAAGGTGGTTATAAGAATATATACTTGACTGATATGAAAATAGGAAAGGATGCTTGGAGAAAGTGAAGGAAAGTAAAGAAGGACTGCCTGCAATGTGACTGACTTGACTGATGAGTCTCTTGTTGTAAACTGCATCCCTGTGGTCGAACACAGCACTTATCATCTTCAGCACCAGAATCATGAGGACCCCGTTGACGAAGTTGTTCAGTTGCCAGATGGAGAAGACGTGCAGCAGTCTCAGAGTGGAGATGTAGAGGAAGAGGAGAAAGAACGTCACTGGCTTCCACTGCTTGATCGACACTGAACAAATAACACGCAACAACAATCATCAACAATCAAACATCCCATGAGCAAAAGCAAACATAGAATTCTATCTCCCCATTGATTGCATTCAATGTTCCCCACCTACTATAGCCAAAAACCATACTAGTAATACAAAATAATACAGCCCCACTGGTTCTCAATATCTTAGACACAACTTGGTCACTTAATGTCTTCTTTAATACAATCTAGACGTAAAAAGGGGCCTGGCCTTCTCAAGGCAACAATTAATGAAAGATGAATGTGGCACATACATTCAGACTGCAGAGAACATGTGGGGTTGATAGAAGGGACAGCTTACCGCATACAGTGACTGTGTAAGTGGCTGCCACGAACAATAAGACATGGACTGCCTGATAGTTGCAGTAGAGGACAGTGAACAGGAGTCCAGACAGAGTGCAGCTCCACTGGCGCACATTGCCGGGCGGAGTGTAGGACACCAACACAGAGAGGACGAGAGTGAGTGCCAATGCAGAGACATAGGAGGAGTCTTCTGTGGAGAAGGAGTTTATTATATTTAGTACGGCAGTTACCATCTAAGTCTGAAAAGAAAAGAATAGTAGCCAATGTCACTTTCTTTCTGCTGCTCATCAAATAGAAATCACAAGAGGCACCTTCATCAAAGTCTAGCATTGAGTTGAGAAGCAAAGATAAACATCAGAGAGTGACGTTCACAAATTTGCATAAAAGCCTGAAGGCAGCAGGCAATGGTCAAGCAACGGCAGAAGCAACACATATAGGAGGCAGCCAGAATCAAATTTGTGAACAATATTTGTGAATACAAAATGAGGCCCAGAAAGACTGAATCGCATAAAAGTATTAATCTTTTAAGGGAAATGAAATGCGTTGAATGAAATAACAATAATGCCATATATCCGCATAGAGAAAGATTGGCCGCATATCACTTGGCAGCCACAGGGGAGATGAAAAAAGGTCAATAATAGCCTGGACATCTGGGTACTAATGAAAACACTATCAAATTATCTGACAGCATAAACGTTTTTTGGAATACAACCAGCTCCAAACTGGAAAACCCAACTAACAGAAAGTTGGAAAAGAGTCAACGAACTCAAGGAAACCGATAAAAAGGAATTATTAATTTTTAATTTTTTCCAACTTTCGAGAAATACATCACGTTAAAGCTCTATAAAAATCACGAATGTTCGAAGACTGAAAATGTTTCCATAAAAAACACTAATAATTACAGAAAACTGAACGGAACTCTTTCATGTTAAGTCACCTTTCGAAACTAAGAGCCACTCAAGTTTTCACTTTCGGGCAATTTCCGCTCTTTAATAGATTGTAACTAACCTTGTTTTTAACAAATGAAAATTTGAATTGAAATCAAAAAGAACTCTCAAACTGCGAAAAGTCAAAAGTTAGCTGCACTTTACAATGAAAAAGCCTATACCACTTCAATAAGTGTCTTCACTACATTCTCTGACTTAGACAAGAGCCAGGGTCGGCGTGCAATTAGAAGAGCACAAATTGTTTCGAACAAAGTGATTATCGTATACAAAATTCATTTTTTAAATTATTTTGTCGTTTTCCTGGAATCCTCGAAACCATTACTAAAAAAATTTGCTGTTCAAGTTACAAAAACTTTTCTCGTTTTTGCAGACACTCTACTAAAAGATGCAGTTTTTAAGTCGGCTTAAACTGTGATTTAGGTTAAGCCAGACTTAAAAACTGCATCTTATTGTATCGTAACTGGCAAAAATCTTACTATATCGTTATTTTTGCAATTGAAAATGCTTTTGTAACTAAGAGAAAAACTTACCAAGCGGCAGCTAAGCCAAAAATACCCGAGCAGAAATCCTTTAAACCGAAAAAAAAACTAAACAAATTCCCTCAGAACACACAAGCACACAATAAGTTTTTTCGGTCATCAAACGACGCAGTTAGAGACCACTTAGTCGATAAAAAAGCCGAAACCGATTAAGCCGAAGAAAGACAAAAAAGCGAAAAAAAACGAAACTTCAACAAATCGAGTTCGTAAAATTACAACCAATGTAAAAATTGAAATTTGATTCGACCGAAACTTTAAGAAGCTAAAACACTAGCCATGATCATCAGACAATTGAAAAGATTCGATGAACGCAATTAAACAGAAAAAAAACTCTTTGCTTTTTGAAAAAATCTCAACATTCGAATTTAAAACAAAAAAAATATGACCTTCGAGCTTTTTGATTTCTAGATCAATTTGTAAGTGACTTTTTTGATAAAAATAGCCCAATTTGAGAAAACTGAATGGAATTGTAAATTCTTTTATTCAGCTAGGAAATCTGAATAAAAATTTCGAAACTAGAAGTCGATCACGTTTTTTGCGATCCTAACACTTTAGCTGTTCGATATTTGAGTTTGCTAACAAAGGAAATGAACTGAAACTGAAAAAAAAACCAAAAGTCAAATAACCAAAAGTGAAATTGAGCCTGAAAAAATTTAAAGACTTTTCCTGAAAAAAACCATCGAGACTAATATAAGAGTCTGAACTACGTTCATCGACTCCTAAAAACAACAACAATGAAAATCGGTTCCAGCAAAATTAAACAAATCTTAGATGTTGCATCTAAGCCGACAAAACATTATCTGAAAATTCTAGGCCGAAAATTTTATTGTACTACAAAATAAGTTTTTTTTCATATTAGTGTAGTTTTTCGCCGGGTGTGATTACAAAAAAACCTTACGCATTTTCTACAGTGATTAAATAATAGACATGTTCGAAAACAGCGTTTGTAGAAAAATGATCAGAAAAAAAACAAGGAATAAAAAAAATTCAAAATAGTTTGAATTTTTTGAAGTTTTCGCTTCCCAAAATTGAGCTAAATAACTTCAAAAACGAACTTAACTTGCTTAAAACTAAGTTTTTAGGGCTTACAATAGGCACAATGAAGCTGTCGTAGTCCTGCTCGCTCGCTTATTTCGTTCAAAATTGAAATAAAAATCAAAAACTTTAAATAAGTTTCTCTCAATACTGAAAATTTTTTTCAAATTTTTGTGATGTCGATGGAATCGCAACTGAAAGACTTCAATTTGGTATATCACTCGCCCTATTCCAATGATTATTTGCGTTACTAGGTTTTGCGTGGAAACCAAAAAGAAAAAAAATCAAAACAACCGAATACAAAGTCTCTCTACATTTTTCAAATGGTCGGAATGATTAAAACATCGGACAATTATAAAAATTAAGTGAAACCAAAAAAACTACCAACAAATTTGATTGATTCTTGCAGTTCTTTGAGCTTTGGGAATCAAACCATACTCATACCACGAAATATGAAACAAAATTCAAAAAAGTTTTGCGAAATCGTTATGCTATAAACTTCGACGGAAAAAACATGAAAATCTACACGCATGTGAAGATATCATAAAATATTTCAAATGAACTCGTATAGCCAGTGAAATTAACAATATTAAAGTGTTTGCTACTAAAATTCAGACAGAAAAAAAATATGAAAAAAGTAGGATCCATCACTCAAAGCTAAATTAATGAGTTACAATTATCATTATGTACCCCAAGTGCCAATCAACCTGGACCAATCATCAACGACCAACCAATGAAGGAACAACAATTGACACAGAGGCAAAGCTGCGCTTCGCAAACACTTGCGAGAATACGACCAAAAAGCAGCTCTATTAAGTAAAATAATAAAAAGTAGAAATAAGCCTCGAATTAGCACAAACTCAGCTACGTGTCGGATTCGAATCTGAGACCTAACAAAATTGAGTCTCACGCAATAACCACTCAGCCACGGATACTCGAAATCCCTATGAAGTAGCCAGCAATAACGCAGCCTATTCACAAACAAATTAAACAAATTGCCTATTCGATGCTGCAAAAGTAGCACCATATGCAAAAAGACACAATTTTGCATGTACCATGCACTAAATTGGAAAGCAAAAAGCCAAATTATGTCTCAAGTGTGTATTCAAAACATAGCCAACTGAAAATAGGAAAAGAGTAATGAGCGCAAGTAAACAAAAAACACTGACTTCGTTGAAAAAATCTCAACTTTCAAACTTCAAAGAAAAAAATAGATGCCCTTTAATTTCTTTGAATTTCTAGAGCAATTTATGAATGACGATTTTTTGATAGCATTAACCCAACTTGAGACAACTGGATCACTGAAGTTTTTATTCCTCTGGAAATCTAAAAAATAAATTCCACTTTCGAAACTAAAAATTGTTCACGTTTTTTTGCGCCACTTCTACGTTCTTATTTGGAGAGTGCTATTGACCTCAATTTCAGCAGATGAATTTCAATTAAACTCAAAAAGTGCATAAATACCTCAGTGCATTCATAAATGCATCAATATGTATGAATGTACATCTGTAGTTATTAGAGACTTTTAAGACTTTTCCTGAAAAAAAAAATCAGCATGACCTATATAAGAGCCTTCATTAGTTCATTACACTTTAAAAATTGTGAGATATATTGAGTTGGAAAGTTTCTGAAACCGATCTTTTTATCAGTGTACTGCTTTTTGAAACAAATAAATTTTTTCGGTTCATTTGATGAATTAAAAATGCATCAGCTGAGTTAACTTTTTACTAATCAAATGTCAAATCACATACGATTTTATACTGCTACCGCAGCCTACCGATTCAAAAGTGCCACCGAAAGTAGCATTTTTATTTGCGAATTAGAGTGGAAAAAAGAAAGTCCGTACTATTACTTTTTGCTTCGCAAGTGTAATAAAGAACCAACACAGAAACCAACTGACACAACTTCAGATATTGAAAAAAATTTAAAAAAAAAGAACTGAAAAACAACGTACAAAAAATTAAGCAAACGAACGATAGCGCGACATCTATACCTTTCCAAAAGGAAAACTTACAATATCCAAAACAAAGACTCGAGAAATGACTCGAACACCAGACCTTTACTGAGCCAAGCATGTGTGTTACCTCTTCGCTAAGCGGGCACAGATTGCAACAAGAACTTGAACAGCTGTTTCAGTAAACAGATAATCCTTCAAGCCCTTTCGTTAAACTAAACACAAACTGTTTTTGAAACTATAACTTTATGGTGCCGAAGAATTACTTTTTGATCTCTTGAAACTACATAAGACAACTACAAAAGACAGTTGGGTTCAATTAGGTGGAGTTTATTTGAACTGGACATCAAAATCTTTCGGTGCTCAGTAATAAACCATGTTTAGAAAGTGTCCCTATTGAGTGACTGGATTAACTCACATACTCGAACACTAGTATTAAACAAACAACGGCCAGTACGTTGTGGTCACTAAATACTTGGGAATAATAATCATAATAATAATAGTAATCATCATCATCGTTGGTTTTCCAGCCTCTTCTTGGATTCGAAGGTGCAGTGAGAAAAGCCAAAGGCGGCCATATTCTCCATAGTGATAGATTTGAACGAATGTGTGGTGTGCGAATATTCATTGACAAGATAGAGTTTCGACAACCACTGTAATTGCATTTCAATAGTTTTTTTAATTAACTACGGTACCTACTCCAACTTAACAAAAACAGAGCTGCACTTTGCAAACTTTGCAAAAACGAGCCAAAAAACATCACAAGGGATCTTTGAGAACGTAAA